GAGCCATAAATGCCATTTAACATTAAACATGTACAAGCCACTGAAATGCCTGGTAAAGGGAAATGGGTGCTATAGTAAAACTATACAAAGTAAGTCAGACATGAATAATGCAGCAGGTCTGAGCAGGGTCATGGGTCAGACTCCAGTACCTTACAAAATAATGAATGCATGTCAGGTTAGAGACATACATCCCTTCCTAGCACATGTGAGTTATTGGAGATAAACCCTGTACTTCCTGTTCTGGAACAAAGTGGCTTGTTGTAAACATCTATGTCCATTTAAAATTAATGATTAAAAGAAAGATTCAGTGGGATTTGCTTAAGTATTCTTTATGGCTACGAGTGCTAAAGGTTACTTTCTTCATTCATTTTTACCCAGCCACTGTTAACGTTACAGACACATCATGTTTTCTTCTGTGCTCAAATGTTTATCCAAAGCTCATTTGCAAAAGAGCTTACATAATATGAAGCAGGCTTTTTTTCAATGCATTCTTCATTTAAATATAAACAAAAAAGCATCTCTACAGTTTTGCTCCATTAAAGGGAGCCAGCCCTATTTTTAAAGACAGTAACCCAAATCCTAAATATGCTCTATGAAAATATTAAATGGAAAACCATCTGTAATTCACTTGAGTATCCTGATCTGCTAAATTATCACCTATATCTTCTGTATTTTTCCCCAAAATACAAAAAATATTAACTGTCCTTTCATTCTTTATTTCACATATGTGATTATGATAACTCTTTTCCTCCTTCAATCTTCACAGGGAGAAGAGTATAACTTTCCAAAATGGGAATCTTTTCCCCTCATTTTCACCAATTTTCACAATTAAAAAAAAATAAATATAATGAAAAATAATATTGTTTCATTTATGAAAACGAGTCTGCTTCATTTTCTAGACTTCGATGGAGAATTTAGCACCTGTTCAGTGTGTTTTCCTTCTTTTGCACCCTGTACTCCTAGCTTTCATAATGCAGTGCAAGGAAGGGGATACCTTCTCCACAGCTATTTATACAAAACCATGTTTGATTATTTCCTCCCTCCATTTGAGCATAGCAAAGAGAAAATCCCAAATTTTATATTTAAATTGAAAAGTCTTTCTACTTAGGAATCTGAAAAGGAAAAATTTCTAGGAAAGTGGAACTTGAGGCTTTACAGAAATAAAGCAAATACATAGGTACTGCAAATGAAACATAAGATCTTGCATCTGATCTGTTAAATATTCCATCAACAAGGTCAAGAGTAAAGACAAGCCCAGCCACAAAAACTGAAGCAAGAGTAAGCTTTAATAAAAAAAAATATGAACAGTTTATCCTCTTCAGCTTTTCAAGTGTAAAAACAAAATCTTTTTTACTTGAGAAAAATCAAGCATGTATATAGCATTTAAAAAGACACCAATATCAACCATTTTAATGAAAGAGTACCCAATATTTTCAAAGACCTATAAAAGGGAAGGAGACTAAGTGTTATGGCAAAAAGCCTGGGCTCAGCAAGTTTGTGTGGGAAATGGTGAAATGTGACTGTGATTTATAATGAGAAAAGGTATCTACAACATACAATTTTCTACCTAGCTGCAAATAATAATTCATAGTGATGTCCCTTCCAGATAAAATACCTTTGCAATGTAGGACTCATGTGGTAAAATGATCATGATAAATGTCAGACCAGTGCAGGTAACGGCTTTACAAACCATTAAGATTAGCTGGCTCTTTTTTTTTTTTTTTTGATGATAACAGTAACCATGCCGTGACTCTATGTGGTAATAATATCTCAGTACTGATAAATGCCAGAGCCTGGCAGAGGTGTTTATCATTCCCAGTTCAGAAATGCTGACTAAAGTTACCACATGTTGCCTGGTTTTTCTTCTTTTACAGTAGACTAATAATTAACAAATAGACTGAATCACAAAACAATTTTATGCAAAATTTCTACAGTCTTGTGCTTTAGTGCCTACATAAATATCTCTAGTACACTAGTACTGATTACTTTGGTACAGTAAGTCCTAAACCAAAGCTTTCTACCTTTGCCATTCTCTTAATAAATAATTTCTTTGTAAATGAATGCTTCTCTTTTTAGTTTACTTCTTTTACAAATACACCTTATAAGGAAGTGCAGCCTTGGTTACCAAGCTGGTATCTGTGTTAATCAACACAGAGCAGAGACACTTCCTTCAAGAAAGCACAATAAAGTTTTACTGTGCATTTCCTTGCAAATATTCTGCAATGGACAAACGCTGCAGAAGTCTTTTCTTCCACTGAGTCTCTCCCTACCTCAGTGTTTCAGTTCTGCTCAAGTCCATTGAATTCTCAGGAGAAAACAGAATTAAAAATAAAGCCAATTGGGAAACTATATTTGAGAAGTTGCTGTATAGCCAGGGTAGCGCAAATCTGAACATAACTTATCTAGTAAGATCATAACATGTCTTAGTGTTTCATAGGACAATGAAACTGGTGGAGGGTCTAGAGCACAAATCTTAAGAGAAACAGCTGAGGGGACTGGGGTTGTTTATCCTGGAGAAAAGGATGCTCAAGGGAGGCCTTATTGCTCTCTACAACTACCTGAAAGGAGGTTGTAGCAAAGTGGGGGTCAGTCTCTTCTCCAGGTAACAAGCTATAGGACAAGAGGAAACAGCCTCAAGTTGTGCCAGGGGAGGTTTAGATTGGATATTAGGAAAAAATCCTTCACTGAAAGCGTTGTCAAGCATTGGAATAGGCTGCACAGGAAAGTGAAGTCACCGTCCCTGGATATATTTAAAATATGTGTAGATGTGGCGCTTAGGGACATGGTTTACTGATGGACTTAGCAGTATAAGGTTAATGGTTGGACTTCGTGAGCTTAAAGGTCTTTTCCAACCTAAAAGATTCTATGATTCTATGTGTGCACACCAAATAGCACAAATACAGAATTTGTATCCTCTTCCTACAACAAATTCAGTTCAGCAAATTTAATATAATTTTAATTTGTAACTTCAGTCATATTTCCATTGGAAAGGATTTCCAATAGAGCAAAAATTAGCAGTTCTATTACAACTTGTTTATTAGAACAAGAACTGCTTGTGGTAGAAAACAATGGATGGCTGACTGAGTTGCAAGACTGGGGGAGATTGTACTGTTCAGAAGTTAAATTTCTGTATAGGTCAAACCAGAACAAGAAAAATATACACAAAAAAGTGTATTTATAAGAAGGATGGGGACATGCCAGAACAAGTCCAGAGGAGGGTCACAAAGATGATCAGAGGGCTGGAGCACCTCTCCTATGGAGACAGGCTGAGAGAGTTGAGCTTGCTCAAGCCTGGAGAAGAGAAGGCTCAGGGGAGAAGTTAAAGCAACTTCAAGTGCCTAAAGGGGCTGACAAGAAACTGGGAGAGGGGCTTTCTATAGGGCAGGTATGGATAGGACAAGGGGGAATGGCATTAAACTGACAGAGGGGAGATTTAGATTAGATGTCAGGAAGAAGTTCTTTCCTGTGAGGGTGGTGAGGCACTGGCACAGGTTGCCTGGAGAAGCTGTGGCTGCCCCTTCCCTGGCAGTGTTCAAGACCAGGTTGGATGGGGGTTTGAGCAACCTGGTCTAGTGGAAGGTGTCCCTGCTTGTGGCAGGGTAGTTGGAACTAGATGACCTTTAAGGTCCCTTCCAATCCAAAACATTCGGTGATTCTATGACTCACTTGTGTTTAACTTCATCATCACTGTTGTCAATTGCATGAATTCCTATAGGATAAATCTATATTAAACTTTGGAGTTTTTTTTTACCTGAGAGTAATATCTATGCACTGACTACTTTGAGATCTTGTCTTTCATATCTATACAATTATCTATGTTATAAAAAATACAGGTATATACATATATCTCTCTGTGTGTTACATTAATCTCAACAGGAATTAGGAATACATGCTGAGGAATAAGTATTTCATTAGTAACTTTAATTTTTAAGTTTAATTCAATTGCAGGGAACTTTTGCTTGAAAATTTTTTGGGGGTGAATTCTTTGAATTAAGGCACTAATCACCATGTATGCTTACGCAGCACCTACTGCAACTGGGAATCAATCCTGATTGAGATCTCTGAGTGCAAGGGTAATATGAATATTAACAAGGAACATATACGAAGAATGATAGGTGATAATTAAATCATAGATGATGAGATCAAAAAAGTATTCTCAGGTTATCTAGGGCATGTAACATGCAAGATGTTTTCGCTACGTCAGACCTACTGGCACCTTATCTAATCTGTTCCTAAAGAAAAGCACACTTATACATGACTTTAGTTGCAACATATCACTCAAGCCTTTTCCACAAAACTGTGTATCATGCTAAAACTTGAAGATATATCCTAACAAAAAGGATAGCAAGGTACTTACCTCAAAAGAGAGATTAAAGTCATTAGTACTACATTCTTTATTACTAATCATGAGTTTGAAATACAATTTTTATCTTGCAGACATTGTGAGATACTGCAAGTATTAGAAAACAGTTACAGTGGAATAACTTCTCAAAATAATAGATCACCAAAAAGGACAACTTAATAACAAATAATTTTATACTTCCAGACTTGATGGGGTTCATGTTAGAGATTCATAAATATAGCTAATTTGAATATGATTGATGTGAAAAAAAGGACAACAATGACTACCTGGGAAGTGCATCCATCACAGAAGCTGCACCCTTGGACAAATGTTAGCTCCAATGTGGAATTGCAATCAACATGTGGGTCCCTGACTACTTGATGGCATTTTATCCTAAGATGATGGTGTAATAGTCTAATGAAATAAATGAAAAATGTAAGAATATATTTCTGTGAATCAAAAACTGCTTCCTTAAAATTAAAAGACTTTTTAATTTTTGCAAATTACTCTTTATTAAGGTAACATAAAGTATGACATATTTTGGATTTAACCATATATTAATGATGGCTTTTCATATTAAGGTACCAGATGCAGTACTAGGCAAAATAACATCCGTATATCACACACAGGTTGTTATTTTCTCTTTCCTCTCCCTTAGAAATCCAGGACAACGCCACTCGCATCAAATCAATAAGGACCCTGGTAAAAAAGCTCCCTAGACCAAACTATGAGACAATGAAAATCCTTTTTGAACATCTAAAGAAGTAAGTAGAACTGTAGTACTAACAGATCAATAATTTTAAAAGGAATTGGTGTGTGGTGTTCTAATCCTGCTGGAAATGTCATCCAAAATACCAAAGATAATTATACGCTTTGGCAAAAGTAAGCATGAGTTATGGTATCTATGAATATCCTATTCCTGCTCAAGAAATCAGTATGTCTAAGCAAAAGCCAATTTTTTTCTTCTACTAGAAAACGGATCAGTTCTCTTTCCTCTGATGAAGTCAAAAGTTGGGATTACTATACTACAGATCTATTCACAGTATGTTTTGGATTGGAAGAGATCTTAAAGATCATCTAGTTCCAACTACCCTGCCACAAGCAGGGACACCTTCCACTAGACCAGGTTGCTCAAACCCCCATCCAACCTGGTCTTGAACACTGCCAGGGAAGGGGCAGCCACAGCTTCTCCAGGCAACCTGTGCCAGTGCCTCACCACCCTCACAGGAAAGAACTTCTTCCTGACGTCTAATCTAAATCTCCCCTCTGTCAGTTTAATGCCATTCCCCCTTGTCCTATCCATACCTGCCCTATAAAAAGCCCCTCTCCCAGTTTCTTGTCAGCCCCTTTAGGCACTTGAAGTTGCTTTAACTTCTCCCCTGAGCCTTCTCTTCTCCAGGCTTGAGCAAGCTCAACTCTCTCAGCCTGTCTCCATAGGAGAGGTGCTCCAGCTCTCTGATCATCTTTGTGACCCTCCCCTGGACTCGATCTAGCAGGTCCACATCCTTCTTATGGATGTGGACCTTGGTAAAGTGCAACAAGTTCCAGACTTTTGGATCACCATATTTTCACCACTGAGATCTCTGCTGTTCAGTCTTCTTTACTGATCTTGTGATGTGCTGAGGCACACAATGACAGAAATAACCTCACCCAAGAAAATACATAACGAGCTCTTGCACCTCACCAGAAATCTTGTGACAACATAGAAGATCTAAGAAACACTGAGGAGAGATTTGAAGGTTCATCTTTGCTCTCCTAATGTTACTGATAAACCATAAAGGCAGAAACATGACAATATGAGGCTCCACCTTATAATTTCTCTGTGGTTTTTGCACTCATTGAACTTCTTCTGCAAGAGATGTCAGCCCAAAAATTCAACCCAGGATCTCGTGTTTGTTCAACTTGGTTTTTCTTCTCATGTTTCATGGCATTAAAAGTAAAAATGTACATAGGCCATGTGCTCGCTCTGAAACCAACTTGCAGCTGTTTGACTTGGAGAATGACTGGGCAGAAATGGCAGAGCTCAAGACAGGGGCACATGAAGGGCAGAATCCAGATCCTCCCTTTGTGGCTGTCCTGCTAACGGGTGCCATTTTGTACAATCACTTTTCAGCCAAACTACCCTTAAAATTGAAAGGACTAAGTAGGATCTAGGGCCCCATAGAGGCCCTTGGCACAGAGAAGCATTTCATCCCAGGAATAATGTAATGACCCCAGTGAGTGAGTAATAAAGAATCCAAATAAAAGACTACTCTGAGCTTATAATGAATGATGCCTTTATACTGACCGTTTCTGCTACATTCTTCTGGCAGATACATGTAAGAAATGCAGATCCTTTATCTTGTTCTGCAGATCCCAGCTGAAACTGCAAAATGAAGTCCATATAGCTGTGGGAATGTCCCTATTTCATTAAGCATGGGAAGATTTCAAACAGTCCATAAAATGACTGAGTTTGGCCTGGCAGAAAAACAGTTTTCTATGTATTCATCTGATGCACCATGCACACACTTTCTTTTCTTCAGCAGGTTATGTAGAGAAGTATGATAACTTATTACTGTCAATGGAAGAATAATAAGGGAAATTATTTCCTGAGAAGAACCCGAGTGCAAGAAGTTGGTACATGCTGTCAGCACAGATATGCCATATACAAGATTTACTGCACCATACATGGCAATGATCTTAACCTGACAAAAGTTTTGTTACCGTGTCTTAGGGGAGGGATATCAGGTATACACAATAAGTCTTTGATCTCATAGTTAATCACTTGATTGAGACTCAGGAGACGTGGTTACAGTTCTTGGCTTTGACCGGATGTTCTGGGTGACCTTGGGTAAATCACTTAATCTCTCTGTGCCTTGGTTCCTTGTTTACAAAATGATGATAATACTTTCTTTGTCTGCCTTGGCTTTTCAGAATATAATCTTTTTGGGACAGCAATTGTTTCCTGCTGGATATGTGTAGAATAACTGCTAAAACCGGACCATGACTGGTGCATTTTGGAGATTAAAAAAAAAAAAGGGAGGGGGGGGACCCTCTCCCCCCCCAAAAAATACATACAGTAAAATACCAATACTTCAATACTTCAGAATGCATATGTACACAATACTGGGCTTGGCTTCAACTCTATAGATATAGTAATACCTAAATAAGCACATGTTCTTACCTAGGTGTGTCTGCAGAATGCATGGTGAAGATAAAGGTATACTGATAAAATAACATGGTAGAGAGTGATGGAAGGCGGGAAGATGTATTATCTGAGCCATTTGCAGGTCTGATCCTTATGGGAGCAATAGCCTGAATCTCTCTGAAGGTCAGGCTTTTCTGCCAAATATACATATAACCAGGGAAAGATAGGGCAATTCCACAAGCTTTATTCCACTGATATGGGGGCAGCAGTAGAATAGATACAGAAAACACTAAAAAACAGATGAAAAGTGGTATGTTCTCTTGAACTTGTCAATGCAAAAGACACGGGCTAGTCTAAATGGACTCATGGCTCCATAAATGAGAATAAAGAAGCATATATACAACTTTAGTAATGATATCATATTTGCTTTATGTAAATATAGGCAATGTGTGTTTCTTTAAATCAACTGAGGAAAAAAGATAAGTTTCCAATGGTTACAAAATGTAAAATTATATCACTTTTAGGGATACTTTTCAGAAAAGGGGTCCCAATGTGCACAATGTGCTAACCTCACCACTGACTTTCCCCTTTCGCTATCCCCTTCAATTACAGGGTTTTCTTAGTGTAAATCACAGGAGGTTCAAAAGTTGCCAATTAGTCAAAAACAATAAGTAAACTGGTTTTATTTGAGGTATATTACTGCAATTTCTGTATTTTCTGCTGTTCTTGACTAGTGTTTTACAGGGCTTTAAGGGGTTTCTGATTGGGAAATCTGAAGGACTGCAGTTATGCTGTTTCTATGGTTTTCCCTTCTTTCTCCTACCTCTTTTTCTTTCCTCCCTGTCAGACAGATAGGAGAATAGGGCTTTGCAGACCTGGACCATGGGACTACGCAAGCCTGTGACTTCTGTACAACACATGAGAGCATGTATCAGTGACACGCAGGAGCTCAGCATGAGAATCCAACCTTTCCCCAAAAGGCTACACTTATCCTAAATCTCTGACAGCAGTGAGGCTACACTATGGTTTCATTCTGTGGCAATCCAGTCTGTAGGAGTATGTCCAGATCAAGTAGAAGTAACAACGTGAAATGCACTTCAGAAGATTCTTCCTTTAGAAACCCAGGCAAAGCAGCCAATGTGAGAGTCTGCGAAGGCCTGGCAGCTGTAATTAACACTAGTGCCGTATATCTTTCTTAGATGAAGCTTCCTGAAGTCACAGTACAGTGTATGAAACCCACAGGAGGGAATTAAAAGCAAAGCCTGGGGTTGCAGTACCCGTTCTTTTATGGGTTTTCTATTTGATGGGAAAAATCCCCACCCCACAAATGTCCCGTGTTCATCTTTGCATGAGATTTATTCTACTCGTAAGTAGGAAAGACAAAATATGGGGCTGAACAAAAATATCATATAGCTTTTGTAAGCCTAATACCATAAGAAATTGTTTTATTAGGACTCACACTGAAAATAATTGAGTACAACTACCATTAGGTTATTCACACTTCCTGAAGACGACTAAATTGTACAAATATACTTTAAACAACAAACCCCAACCTGAGTAGGGATTTCCCCAAATAAAGAGCTACAAAACCCAACCTGTTCTACTTGAACATACTTCAAGAATACTTGTGTGCTATACATAGCACGTATACTGATGCCCCATTAGTGAAAACAGCATTCCCATTCCACAGGATTTTATTCTTTCCTGTTGCTTATCTACAAGTGAATTTTACCCACAGAGTGAGCTAATTAGACAAAACTGATACACTTTTCTGGCCCTATTTTGCAGGCATATGTAGGACAACAAATGATGCAGAAACCTTGCATTGGCTCTCTGCACAAACATGAACTTAGCACAATAGAGCCTTATATGGTAAATCATTATCTGTATCCAGTAATTTACTCACAGAACTATAATCCAAGATAAGCACAAGGAACATTTTGTTTGCTAAGGATCCCACATTATTTTATGATCTAACTTGCTCTCACAGCAGCATCTTGAGGTAGCTGTTACACACCAATTGGGAAACTGAGGCACAAGAAGTTTAAATTACTTACAGACTTGGAATAAGCCAGCAATACAATCTAAATATCTGGAAGGTTTTTTTGTTTGCATAGACACTTCTCCAGTGACCACAAAATACTCTTTCCTCCCTAATGCAAAATGCTGTAAGGGAGAGGAACATCCTGCCTGGGTCCCCGACACCACGCTCTGAGCTGGTGAAGGGGGCAGACACAGCTCTGCTCCAGAAGCTTTGTGCCTGCATTATACTGTGTCTGAACTAATAAGCTGTGCTTATTAATGTTAAATTAATGAATCTCAGCCTGCTCTGTTTATTAGGTTGAGCTCCATGCCACTGCAAGGCAGCTCTGCAACTCCCAGACCCAAGCTGTCTCACATCTGACCAGGCTGGAGCACAGGGCAGCCAAGCTTGAGTCTGTCTTTACCCATCCATGTAGACATCCCTGCAAAGAGATAGATTGCAGACAAAACCCCTCTCCTTGCTTCTTATTTTCCTGCACAAAGGCAGGATAATACATGTTATTTACAAAAGTATAAAATGGATGTTGAAATAATTAAATGGGAAGGCAGGGGCCAGCCTGATGCTACCAGCCCTCTCTTATGTGGAAAGCACTG